GGGAGAAACTGATGGTCTAACTCCTCGTCTGATTTATATGCTCGTTATCACACAAGCTTTAGGAGTTAGTAAAACCATGTTTCAAAAGTTATCTTCTATCTTTAGTTTAAAAGTATAAGTGAAGCAACAAGAGTGGGAAAGAAAAACGTCTTCTTTAGTTTGCTCTAATATAATCTAATATAAAACACGATGCATTGTCTTACATTCTGGTGTCTCATTTAACCAGTTTTCTTTTCTTCTTAATCAATCGCCAGTAATCATTACTACATTCTCTGTAGTATATAAAAATGAGAAGACATTCATTCAAATGGTTCCGTATCTAGAATTTCAACTGAAGATGTCATGGAAATAATAAACATTGAATATAAATAGACTAAAAGCAGATGTAATTATACCTTTTTAAAATACATTACTATGTCAAATACATTTACCAGAGAAGCCAAGCTGTCAAATGTTCAATGTTTTCTGAGCATTTGTTCAGGAGCTCTGTCTGAATAAAATAATAATCTGGCAAAAGCATGAAGTGAATCAGGAACTGAGCTTCTCAATCTCACCACATATTTGAAGCCAATTTGAAATAATCTACAGTTCAGGAGGATGTGCTGCAACACAGAGGAGCGTCAACCGATCACACTCTCACACACACATACAGCAGTTTTGTGGAACGTGACAAAATACCAGACCGTTCAGAAATGGATATGCAAATTACAGGAAGATTCCAACTTTGAATGCGTCACAACGTGAATAAGACTGTAAACAACGATGGACGACTCCTATCCGCTTCCTCCCGCTGCACAGAAATGAAGCCAAAATATCCCGGTGGTGGGTGCCGCCATGTTGCACTGGTGACGTCATTTGTAGCCAGAGTCTGCACAGTAGTGGAGATGCTATATCAAGGTTCCTGTCAACATGTTACCTCATTTTTTTTTTTTTTATAACATTCAGTTTGACTGTTTAGGTCCAGGCTGGACTTTCGATCTGTACACCAGCCAGCCACCAGGGGGCGATCAAGACATTTTAGCATCACTTCTGGTCAATCTGCAAACTATTCAGACCTTCAAGTCTTTCGTTAAGTATTTAGTGAATTATCTTCTGTTCGTATCCAAATACTCCTTACACATTTCCAGTTTGTCCATTAATGGAAAAATCTGTTTCCTTATTTTTGGTGCTGAGCCGAGAATCTCAGTCCCCAGAAAAACCTAAGAGGATAAAGAAATATTTGGTTTTTTATGCAGGAGGTGAAGGTCAAGCATCGATCCTTCATCCACTGCCTGATTCAGTCCCCAGAAAACCACACGTGTTTCGCATCGGACGCCCACCCAGCCGTGACGCCCTCTGAGGCTCCCTGATGCCAAAAACATATCGGAGCCCCAGAGGATGATGGGATACGTGACATGGTTACACAGTGGAAACCTGCGTTAAAAAACGAAGGGAGGGGGAGAGAGAAAGAAGGGAGAGAGGAGGAAGCTGAACGATTTCCTGGTGCGTCTTCCTCCGCTGGGACAGATGTGATGACTTCAACAGATGTGCTGAACCAGAGAGAGAGAGAGAGCAAGAGTTTATATGAAGCATCTCAATCATCACTCTGGCCTCCTGCCTCAGCCTGAAACATCCAGTGAAGAAGAAAGTTCCCTTTAAGTGCTTCGGTGAATCTGAAGAAGCCTGATTGTTTGTCCATTTAGACACTTGAAGGGGAATTCCACAGACTTCTCACATGAAGGTCTGCTTACAGGTCTTGAAGAGTACTACTGCATGTGTGGAGGAGGAAAACAATCCCGCAGTGGCTCCAGAGGGAACTCTGCGAAGTCTGATGAAGTGATCGAGTGGCTCGAGTGCAGCATCGGTTTGTTCTGAAGACTACAAGTTTGAAAATGAGAAAACTCTGGGGGTGTTGAGTTAGGAGGAAGTGAGGTTACCGGACCTCTGCAGCCCGCTCCCCATGTCCGCCTGAGGCAACATCTCAATGCTACTTCTAACACACACCACACGTCTCCAACTGAACTGTCAGTGAGCACGATTCATCATGATTAATGTCGGTGCTGAGTTTTGATAAAGACGAAGAACGATCCCAGCTGACATTGTGCGAGAGGCGACGTGTGTCACCAGCACATCAGACATTTCAGAGACAGCTATTCACACCTATGGGGAATTTAAAGTCAAAGCCACGGCCAAACTGGGGCGTGATCGTTTATTGATCCCGATCCCTGTTATAACAGAGACGACAGTTTGATCTTCCTCCAGCCAGAGAGCAAAACCCTTAATTCATCATCAAAACAGTCAATGGACGAACCAGTTAATTGACTTATTATCTCAGTCGAACATACAACCTTCAAACACGACGCAGACATGGGAAACTGGCAAAGCATTTATGTGACACACACACACACAGCTCTAATAACTTCACACCTGTAGAATAGCAAGTCCTCGCACCCCCGTCAAGCAGCCTTTGAAGTGTGTGTTTCTGAAAAGAGAGGGGAAGCAGGGAAAGAGGGGGGAGGTGTGTGTTGTGTGTGTGTGTGTGTGGTGGGGGGGTGGAAGGGGACGGCCGCAGGAAGGAATGTTTCTTCAGAGTAAACAGTGTGAAGCTTCCTGTAGAAAACACTTCAAAGCCAGGGAGAGGAAACTAAGATAACACACACACACACACACACACACACGCACACACAAAGACACACACACACACACACACACACACCTCAGAGGCTGATGATACAAAGAGTTCCTGTTGACACGCTGCAGATCCCTGAGGACACAGACCTGCTGAGTCCAACAGCTGCTCGGAGTCACTGCAGCCAACACGGTGTCAGCGACAATGAACACCAGCAAAGTCCGCTCTCACACACACACACACACACACACACACACACACANACACACACACACACACACACACACACACACACGAGCAGGTAGGAGTCATCTATCAACACAGGAAAATTAAAGCCTGTAGAGAGTGTGCGCTCTCACTCACACACACACACGATCGGATAATTCTACTTTCCATGACTCAAACATGAAAAAGAAAATCACATCACACACTTTGTAAACACATCTGTCTGACACACACAAAACACAAAACACACACAAACACACAAAACACAGGATTCTCTTCAGGTTTGTCTTTCTCAATATTAAATGAGCTGAAATGACAAGTCGAGTGACCATTAGTTGTCCGACAGATTTATTTGAGTATCGATTGAGTATTTTCAAACTCTTTCTATTACTATATGCTGTACCAAGGCACAGAGAAACTGAGTATTAAAACTTTAAACTCCATCATACTCTCTGTCTCAAACTACATTTGTGTCAATGACAAGACAACATGGATGTGTCCAGTGACGCTTTCGTCAAAACTGTACAAGCAACAAACATTCAGGCGTCTGGTCTGTAGCTGTGATGTGGACCCTGGAATAACCAGGGATAAAACACTGACAGCCCGTCCCATCACAGTTAGGATGAACGAATAGGACATTTTAGAGATTTCACATCGATCAATCGTCAGAAAAATTTAAAAAATCTGAATTCGGACAAATACTATCAATAATTTTCAGTATTTTATGAACTTTTACAGACAAATGGATTAATTTGAAAACATATCAAAACGATTTGAGTGAAATGACAGCGTATTCATGTCAAGGTTTTTGGAGATGGAGAAGCTGTGGGTTTAAAAAGCCTCTTCAAAGTGCAGCGCGGATCAAAAGCTGCTTCATTCATGAAACACAAGCTGCTGTGAGGTACTAACACAGAACAATGTGGAGGTGGTGGGTCAGATCGTTACCTCCGGCAGGGAGGATTTGTTTTCACCTCTGTCTGTTTGGTTGTCGACTGGTTTTTAAGCAAGATCAGCAAAAACTACAGAACAGATGTTCATGAAACTTAGTGGATGCATGTGATTTGGGGAAAAGCCATGAAATAGTTTGAGCTGCTCCGGATCAGGGGGCAGATCCAGCAATTTAATTTCATTTGCTGTTTGTGAGTTATCTTTTGACATTTTTATTGATTTCACAGAAGATAAAAAAACTCATGAATCTTGATAAACATAACCAGGCTTATTAAGGGGACTGATGCTTGTTCAATTTTGTACAGCTTGATTGAATTTAATGGCCTTGAGATATATTCCTGCTTTTTATCAACACACACAATAAGGGAATCTAATTTACAAATTGCAAGTCACATAAATCTCAAAATTAACAAGGAATGAAGTGGAATCTGTGTATTTTTACCCTCTAACCTGCACTCAGGTTAACTTTGGCCATTGATTATCTGGTTCTCTTTGGGCTATATGAAGTTTCTTATTGTAATTGTATATATATAATACTTCATATTGTATTTATTGCAATGTCTTTCTCTTTGAGGCATTGTGTGTCAGTTTATATCATTGTGATAACAAAACACAATCATTGAGCCTTGGAAGTCTTTTTTTTTTTAAATCAGCAAAGATCCAATACAAAACTTTATTCAAGTTTTCGTTAAGTTTAGTTTGTGGTTTATCTTTTAAGTGTCTGTTCAGGCGACAGGTAATGGTTATGAAAGGTGATGTTATATTTGATATAAATCCTGTACGGTGTGTTATACCTGAGCCACATTTGAGGAGAACACTTGCTTTAATCAAAACAGATTAAAAGATGCTTTTCAAACTTCTGCAAAGTTGCCGCAATGCGCGTGATGTTTAAATGAGCACTTTTTTAAATTGGAGTCTGGTCTGTGCGTAAAACGTGAGCTTCAGCTCCGCGCAGGTAAGTAAGGTGTCGAGAGTGACGCTAAACACAGCGAAACTAAAGATTAAACGAACAAACCGAGGATTCAACTAAACTCAAGCTTCACACTCAAGTCGATCTCATGAACATCTGCAGAGAAACCAGCTGAGGAGACGGAGACACTGAAACCACCGAGCTGCAGGAACCTGGAGGGTTTTATGAGACATGAGACGATCGAAGCTGCAGCTTGAAGCTCCGTGTCGTTAAACGAGCACGATGACAGAGAAGTTCAGAGTTTTCTACCTTGAAGCCACATTTCTCCTGGTTCGGTCTCCTGCTGCCCGAGGTCGTAGATCCACGAGGAACATAGAGGAGCAGAAAGAAGGAGAGGGAGATGAAGAAAGTGCGAGGGGCCGCCATTCCTCCCTCAAGTCTGAGCAACTCTGAGAGGAGAGGAGGACAGGAGGAGG